GAGAAAAAGCTTACTGAAGTATCTCTGAGGGTGAGATTATCTGTATTCAGTTTGATTAGACATAGATTCGCGTATTTTATTTTATTTTTCTTGGTGACTTACTTTGTTCTGTCTGTTACTACTTTGAACCTCTTAAATCCTACTGTCTGTATTTAATAAAATCACTTTTTATTTAGTAATTTACTCAGAGTATGTATTAATACCTGGGGGAGCAAACAACTGTGCATATCTCTCTATCAGTGTTATAGAGGGCGAACAATTTCTGGGTTTGCCCTGCATAAGCTTTATGCAGGGTAAAACGGATCTATTTGGGTTTAGACCCCATTGGGAGTTGGGCATCTGAGTGCTAAAGACAAGCACACTACTGTGAGCTGTTTTCAGGTAAACTTGCAGCTTTGGGACAAGTGATTCAGACCCTGGGTCTGTGTCTGGAGCCAGATGGGAGTGTCTGGCTTAGCAAGACAGGGTACTGGAGTCCTGAGCTGGCAGGGAAAACAGAAGCAGGGGTAGTCTTTGCACATCGGGTGGCAGCTCCCAAGGGGGTTTCTGTGATCCAACCCGTCACAGTGTAATGGGCCAAATTTGAACACCTCTGAAACTGGAACATTTAGGTTTGGATCTGAATATCGAGCGCCTGAGTATGTGAGAGTTTGAAGCCTGGGTATTGACCCATTATAGAGATCCGAGGCCAAATTTTGCTCTGTTACATCTGTGTGAATCCAGGTTAACTTCCTGGGCTTCACTGCTGCCCTTGCACTTGTATAACTGAAGAATTTAGCCCAAGAAGTTTGGCTCTGGAGTTTGGCTCCTGGATTTTGGTTCAGGCCAATCTCTCTAATCAGAAGGCGAGGGGCTAAGAGAGAAGCTATCATGCATTTTCTTGTTTTCTAAGAAAGACCTATTAGTCTTAATTGAAACAGTCTTCAGGCCAAAGCAAATTTGGCTGCCTAAAATTAGGCACTTAAAATTCATATTTAGGCACCTAAATAAGTGACTTGGTTTAAGAAGTGCTGAGCATTTCCCAGATCCTGCTGAAAGCTGTGAGTAACGGTAAGCACCCAAGTCTGAACATTTTAGCATAGGTGCTTCATCCTCCCCCGGAACTCCTTCACGCTCATATTGGAAGCCTGCTATACTCTTGACAAAACCGTATCATCCAAATAGTGTTGCCTGCATGGATCTTAGTGGATCGGATGTGCAATGTGACCTCTGAATGATAAAAGATCTCTGGGAGCACTGGACACCTAAGTAATTATTAATTTCTTTCTAAGGGCTCTGCTTACAACAGAACTAAGGCAACTGCAAGCCTAAGCTACGTGTCTCCTGTTCTGCTGTGCTCTTTCTTTCTCGATTCTGAGAGTTGCTGGATACAGACGCCTGAGGTTGATTTCAGATTAGGAATTTGCCTCCAAATAAAAAAAAATTCTATTGGAAAAATTGGCCGAGTATTAGAGCTGCTAAATGTTCCTGTGACTGGCACATCCTCCCTGCCCACTATGCAGCCTCACGTTGCTCCTTGGAAACACCTCCCTCCTTTCAATTAGTCATCCCCAACTGACCTTGCTCTCGCCTAAGTACTGTACTAGCTGCCCAGACACCATTGCTGGGAATATGATCTAAATATTGAGAGAGCGAGACTTTGTTCCACTGTCCTCAGAAGGTAGTACACTATAATAAAAAGGCATGACCAAGATGCACAAAACCCCTTAAGCCTGTTTCCTGATCAGCCACTCTTATCCCTTGGATTACCAGACTCTCCCCTGTACTCTCCCTGACGCATCGGGTCTAATCGAAGCCTCAGTCATTTGTTTAGGGCATACTCCTGCATCAGGGGTGGTGCAGAGCTGTCCAGCTCCAGTAGGAGAACCTCTCAACGCTCATGGGGAGCATGCTCATTTCTATGTGGTACAGTATACTCCCTCTTGCAGGCCAGTCCCACTTCATGGGCAATACAAGGCAGAGCAGGGCCAGGGGCCCACCTCTTCCCCACCCACTCTGCTGTGTTAGGTTCCATGGGGTAGTGCAGAGGGTACAGTCCCTGCCCTCCCCTCAGCTCAGGGACTGCAATTCTTTGGCCCTTTTGTGGGATAATTTAGCAGATGATGCTGATGGGAGACATGGCTCAGACAGGGAAATCATGCCCACCTTCCCTTTGGATTGAGAGCAGCGGCTGATGTGCATCATCATGGGGAGGGATAGCTCAGTGGTTTGAGCATTGTCCTGCTAAACCCAGGGTTGTGAGTTCAATCCTTGAGGGCCCCACTTGGGGATCTAGGGCAAAATCAGTACTTGGTCCTGCCAGTGAAGGCAGGGGGCTGGACTCAATGACCTTTCAAGGTCCCTTCCAGTTCTAGGAGATGGGATCTCTCCATTAATTATTATTCTTCTCTGGCAGTTTAAGAAGCTGTGATGATGGGCTCAGAAGGGAGCACTATTCAGTCCATTTTGGCAGAAAGTGTGATGGCATGATATGGAGTGCTTAGGATGTGGGTTATAGGAGCAGAGGAAGATTGTCTTTGGAATTCTCTAGAGACACCCTGGGGGAAACGGTGACAAGATTCTAGAAATCCCTCTTTCTGTTACAAATGGGAAGACAGGCCAGTTTAGATTTAGATTTTTAAAACATTTTTATTGCATTAGAATCATAGAATATCAGGGTTGGAAGGGACCTCAGGAGATCATCTAGTCCAACCCCCTGCTCAAAGCAGGACCAATCCCCAACTAAATCATCCCAGCCAGGGTTTGATCAAGCCTGACCTTAAAAACCTCTAAGGAAGGAGGTTTACAGTGACAAAGTGTGGGCCAAATGGTCTATGGACTCAGTCAAGCCCCAGTTCTCCTCCAGTGCACATCAGCATCCCATCAACCTTCAAGGAGGGTCAAGGCTGCCACTCCTTCAGTGATGATGGATCTCCAGCCTAGCATCACCCATGCCCATGACCCACCTTATCTCTGAGACAGAGGTGAGTGACAGAGGGTGCACAATGGATCTGGGGGTGGGGGGTGTAAGGGAAAGGGATAACAAAACGCACCTTCTGGGGGTCACCCATTATGTGGCAGTAAGGGGGAGGGGAAGGAGTGGGAACAGGAGGGAGCAGCACCCTCAAAGGCAATGCTGCCAATGGGTCTCCCCACCACATCAGGCCTGGGGCTGATAAGGGGCCATTCCCTGGGCCTGGATGCCTGTGAAGGGCTATATAAACCCCACGCTGGCATAGAAGGGGTTTGCTTTAGTTTGCTCCCTTAGTCTGGACTGGCCCAGGTCCTCCTCAGCTGCAGATCATGCCAGGACCGGAGCAGGAGTTAACAGGAGAGACCTACTCTACTCAAAAGGGGCCACCCTGGGAAGGGAACAGTCTGTGGAGCATCTCCAGCCACAAAAAGAGAGCTGGCAGCATTCGGGGCTCTGGCCTTCAAGGAGGAAGGATGGGGATCCGTGGAGCTGAAAGGGGGAGCAGGCTGAAACTTGTGCTGGAGACACAGTAAACTCTGAAGGGGACTGAGATGCTCTCAGGGCCCCATATCCTGATGGGATCTGTCCACAGTTTCCCCCCCACACACACTTTTTCTTTCATTCCTTTATTTACCCTTGTTTACTGACAGTTGGCTCTTTTGCTGTTTCACCTGGTACCCGGAGAGAGGAAGAAAGTGCCCCGAGGCCTCAGTCAGAGGGTTGAGCCCTGACACACTAGAAGGACATGCCCCTGTAGCACCCCTGGGCCAGGGGACAATTGGACTCACAGAGGTGCACCCCAGAAGGCCTGAGGCCCAGCAGTTTGGAACCAGTTTGATGGGCTGGATGGCTTCTCAGTGGAGGCTGCCAGAAGCCTGGCACATGGAGTAGATATGGGGTGGCCTGGAGAGCAGGAAGCGGGGCAGCGTCCCAGACATCACTCCGAGAAGGGAAATAGAGAGGGGACGAGGGACACTGCAGTGAACTCAGCACCCATCCTGAAGGCCATTGGCAGAAAGTTATCCTCTCCTGTGCCTATAGGGGTCAGACAGTGACACAGATCCCTTGGCAAAGGGTCACTTGGTCTTTGCCAGCAGCTCTCACCTGAGACCTGACAAACCCATCACCCCAAATACATCTCTTGGAGGATGGTCATGTGAGGTGTCTACAGAAAGCTCATAACTGGTCAAGACTCATAATGACTGAGAGATCAATGTATGTGTCATATGTAAGGAACAAAGCATTTATATTGAAAATCTACTTTATGGACTTGGAATGGAAAATCAACCACCAAGAGGTAATGGGCCCTGGGATTGGCCCATCCACCCAAGAGGGAGTTGTGACTTCTCACTAGTCAGCTGCCAAGGGAATGCAAGACTGGAGTGATCAGCCTTGCTCCCTCCCAAACTATCAATGGAAAACCATTGGGGCACTACCAAACAACTGAAACTGTGTGTGTGGGTAACACAAATTTAATCATCCGAAATATGAATAGTTTAAAGGTACATGTTACACGTGTATGGTGTGGAAGGGCAGGACAGAGTGTATAGGGGAGGGGAGCCTGTTTGGAGGAGAGGCAGACTGGGCAGAGCTAGGGCCTGACTGGACCATGAGCGGAAGGTCCAGCTGGAAGTAGCAGCTCAGGGCCCAGCTCAGTGTGCAGCTCAGGCTACATCACCAAGGTAGCATGCGCCAGACTGTATGCTGCTGCCTATAATACATGGGTGCAGCAGCCTAGGACAGGAGACAGCTACTGGCTTCTACAGTGCTAAGTGAGGGCTGGATGGGATGGATAAGAAGGGGAGGCTGAGCTGGAAATGGTGGCAGGAGGAGGTGGTGGAGGAGAGAGAGACACAGACATTTGAAAGTATGACCGTTATTCCCATTCCACCATAACAAAAAGTACAGGAGAGGGGAGCAGCACTTGGTGTGATAAGCTTGGCCTGAACCTCACACCCAGGTAACACAAGGATTATCTGGTAACATGTTCCCCTGCTGTAAAGAAAATAAACTGGTTTTTTTTTGTTTTTGTTTTTTATTTTTTATTGCTAGTGCCACATTTTTTGCATGCTACTTGGAAGCTGGTCAAGAAGGTGGCTTCTTCTCATGTCTCTCCCTTTGTGACAGCAGTCTTAGTGTAGCAGTGCCACTAGCAGCTTTCTAAAGTCCCCAGAGGTGTCTGATTTGATGGCCTCCACTAAGGACTTGTTGTACATTTTCTGGAACTTCTCCTTTATTGTTTGAAGGTCAATCTGATGGGAAATGGAAAGAATTTTTAGAAGCGTGGATCTGTTTTGCATAATACCTCACACTTCTAGGTCCTGATCCAAAAAGCCCACTGCAGTTAGTGGGAAGATTCCCATTGATTTTAATCAGATTTGATACAGGGCCCTGATGGGGAAGGAGTAGGTTCAAAACCTTGGAAAACTTTTAGCTCAAACTTGATATCCTGACTGCTGCCCTGGCAGACTGGCTCAATTTACGGTCTCCTCTGGAAGACACTCATGGGTGGTAAGGAGTGGGGGAGAAATTTCCAGGAATAGAATTAAAAAAAAAATAGTTTTCGGGTCATACATAGCTTTCTGGTTGCTAAGTACAGAGAACTAGACGTTATGTTATTCTATAAAAGATGGCATCAATGATATGGGTCATATCTTTATTACAGAGGTTCAAGTGTTTTCATAGTCAGGCCACAACTTAACAGGGAGAGTGTCTTGGAGACTAATTTCCAGCTCCACCACTTCAATCATATGGATAATCACTTCACCTCACCGTCACATGAACCGCTTCCCTTTCTATCCATGACCACGTAATATCCCGGTGGTGACAACAGCTTACATACAAGAGTGATGTTAAGACCATGTTTATGGAGCTGAAATGTCTTGAGCGGTTTTGTGCTTTGTGAAAAGACTTTAATCATAGTCTGCTTTGGCTCTTATCTTCTTCTCTCCTTCTCCTCTGCCCTGTTTTTCCCCATCTGGAAAAAGACAGAGCCTGCACCATGTGACTCCCTAGCTCTCCACTGACCATACTTTGGGAACTGCTTCTGTGTTATTTAATGAGGACTTTTTTTTAACAAAGCTCTTTAGGACCAAACGACTCCTCTCCCAGTAGAATAATGGTGGCCAACTTTAATCTAGATGTGATTAGCTCCATTGTGCAATTACTAATGTGTCTCATGCATCATTCTTTTAAAAAAAAAATAGATTCGGTATCAAGGCTAGAGTCTGTTTTCAGTTTCATGGGAGTAAAAACAGTAATAGCACTGAAGTCCATGGAGCTTTGTTGAATTTAAATTGCAAAACAGATTGACTGAGCGCAGAATCTGGCCCTACTACTGTAATTCATTCCCTCTAAATTTCACACTTATCCACCAGAAGATTTGGGGCCTCTCAGATCCCAGCATATCTTACCTCAGCCCGAGTCACGAGGATGCGAATCAAAGTCTCCTCCTCTGTCCCTGCACCCTTCATTGCCTCATACAGACGGGTGGCAAAGTAGCCTTGGCAATCTCTGGCACATCTCACTAAAGAAGAAACATGAAGGGACCTCATAAGCCTTGTACATTTCATATTCCACACTGCAGCTTCAGTAGGAGGAGAACAACAGCCCTCTTAACGGAAACCTAGACATCCCCAATGTCTGTGCCCAACTGGACGTGCATTGTTGTAGAGCCTTAGTCCTGCAACTGGCTCTGTGGAGATGCAAGGGTCAACCCAATCATGACAGGTGACAGACTGAAGCCTAAAAGTGAATGCATTACCCTACAGAGAGAGCATGTTATATAACTGAATATCAAACTTGACTAAACATGTTAATGCAAGCACAGAAGGGTTGAAAATGTTGATGTTTATGTTCCAGAATGAAAACCAATTGTATGGGGACATGGTTTTTGTTCTTTTGGCCTGTCTGGAATTCCGCTCCCTGGCAACTTACTCCTGAGTGGGATGACGTTGGCTTACTTCTATGCTCTGAGACCTAAGAGCTAGATAGCCCATGCTGGGGCTTAATGGAGGTTCTTACTTCCCACAGGCACGTAGGGCAAGTCAACAAGTTAATTGGTTCTGTCCCCCAGTGGTCTTGCCATGTCTTAACCTAGTTCTAATAAAGCAGATTATCACTGTGTTTATACACATAAGAACCCCAATGGCTAAAGTCAAGTGAGGATGAAAACTAGAGAGAAAAGCTATAGACTTTCTTTCTTTTACCAAGAGTGAGAAAGGCCTTCTCCAAATCTCCAGATGTTTCACTTTTAATGGCATCTTCGATGTCTTTCCCCTTCAGCTAAAGAGACAATGAAAAAATTAATGACAGCTGCTGTTTGTGCACTAATCTATCCCTCTAGTATCAGAACAGCAGTGAGCCATTCCTGTTTCTTATCAGATGGCATTTAACATGGCAAAAAGACTGATTTAGATCATATTGACCCTGCCTGTGGCTTTAGGGAGTAAGCTTTTAACTACTTTAATTCCCTAGCAGGCAAGGGTCTCACTCTGGCTTGGTCCACACTAACCCCCCATTTTGAACTAAAGTACGCAAATTCAGCTACGTTAATAATGTAGCTGAATTCGAAGTACCTTAGTTTGAACTTACCACGGGTCCAGATGCGGCAGGCAGGCTCCCCTGTCGATGCCGTGTACTCCTCTCGCCGAGCTAGAGTACCGGCGTTGACGGCGAGCACTTCCGGGATCGATTTATCGCGTCTAGACAAGACGTGATAAATCGATCCCAGAAGATCGATTGCTTACCGCCGGACCCGGAGGTAAGTGTAGACCTACTCTGTCTCAAAGGACCAGATCCTCAGCCGGTGTAACTCTTCATGGCTCCATTGAGATTGATAGAACTATACCGATTTAAATCAGCTGGCTCAGAATATATATATAACGTGCATCATTAAAGCTAACTGAAGCATTTGCACTGGGTGTTATAGTGAATTAACTCATGGCTTCTTCTTGGGGAGACCTCCAACTGAGAGAGACTGTTTGCACCTCCTCTGGCCTACCAAAGACTTGGATAGGTCCAGACAGTCAAGGTAGATTTTGGCGGGTTATAACTTATTTTTTTGGGGTAAATGTAGTTTATAAGGGTCTGAGCTTTGCCTGGGTTTTGTACCACACTGTAGGGAGGAGACAGTGGGGCAGTGGAAGGAGAAAATATTTTGAAGTTAAAATCTGTTCTAATTTTTGTGAATAAAAAAAAAAATCTTCTATTTGTAAAAATGAGATTTCCCCCGACTCTGCCTTGCAAGACAGGATCCTCCCACTCTGGAATATCTGCTTAAATGAGAGATGGACAAAACTGGGAATGTTTAGGGTTTGAGTTCCACAAAACCAGGCTTGGTTTGACTAGTCTTGTAAATCAAACCCATCAAAATATGGAGAGGATTCAGGTGTGGACAAATGGCTTTAGTCTCGGGCCCATCGCAACTTCAAATACAGATGGAAAGGATGCAGGTGGGTTTGATTTGGATAACCCGGTTTGGCTTTTGCTTTAGAAATTCAGGGATTTCAGATTTGAGGCTCATTTATCGAAACTGCCAAGTGTGGATAGTGTTTATCTGTGAATGTGTGTGGATAAATGGTTCTGGCTTTGGCCTCTCTCTAGCCACAAACCAAGGTTTGGAGTAAGTTGTGAATATATTTCCAAGAATGCCTTACTATATTTTCCCCCTTATCAAGAGATTCAATGGTTCTAATTATCTGCTGAACACAGAACAAGTTTAGGAAGCGAAATAAATGCAAGTTCTTGCCTTAAGGAAATCATGTTCAGGCATCAAAGCACAGTGACATTTCGTTTTAAGAATTGATCTAAAAAATCAGAATCATAAAATGGTCCTCCCTAATGGGAAATGTCAGCTTGTCCATCTCGAGCCAGAGAGTTCTGTCTAGTATGTTCTGGAGTGTTTTGTCCAGTCCAGTTTTAAATACTGCAAGTGACAGAGTTTCTGTCACTTCCTTTGGGAGAGGATTCCCCTGCCTACTGCATCTCACTGTTAAACTAATTCTCAACCTAATGCATTTTATCTTAACTCCCTGCCTTGTAAATAGCTATGAACTTTGTCTAAACAAACCTGAATTTCATTTATAACATTACATAGGCATCCAACACACTCAACAGGGTTTTGGTTTTTGGCTCTTCATTTTAGTAGCTGGGACGGAGCTGTTATGTTTTCAGTGAGAGCTGTTTATATTTCAGATGGGACTAAGCTGCAAAGTTTAGCTCCAAACATTCCCAAAGTTCAGGGGTGTTTGCATCTTGGGGTTTGGTTTGGGCCCCTCTCTAATTTACACATTTTGAGAGAAAAGTGCTTCCACTTAGTCACAAGCAGGACATACCATCTTACCTTCTCCTACTTTGTCCTTATTCTCTTCCTAATTATTTTTCAGGCTCCCTGGGCTCAATTCCAAACAAATTTGGAAGCCTCTTGTGAAAAGAGGTCCATTTCTTGCATGGGAGACCAGCAAGAGCTAGGTTCAAGAGGCCTTCCCATCTGAGCCTCCCTTTCATGGAGACTGGAGGATCAGGATGAGAGATGTAGATTTCCCCCCTTCCCCCATCAGCTCTCTGCTTCAGTGGAGGAGAGGAGCAGAAAGTAAGAACCTCAAGGTCTCTGGCCAGGGGCCTATTGCCTGTGCAATGTACCTCTTTGCTGAGTCTTTGCAGTGTGACTAGGGAAAGGTCACCCTCTCTGTTATTCATAGGGTTGGGGGAAGACAGGACAACAGTCAAACTTATTTTGCTGGATATTATAGGGCAGATACTCAACTGGTGCAAATTGACATAGACCATTCATTACAGCATTTGAAGATCTAGCCTTATACATATATTGCTAGGTGTTTAGAATGTCTGGCCTCTCCTTAAAATTACAAATAAAGAATCATATGTTCCAAATGTAAGTAAGTCTGCTGTAGGAATTATTTTGGGGAAGTTCTATGGCCTGTGTTATGCAGTAGGTCAGGCTAGATCACAATGGTCCTTTCTGGCCTTGGACTCTATGAATGTGTAACTTAATTCCATTAAATTACCACTGAGCTCCAAACTGCACAATACCTGTCACAGAACAAAGAAAAAAACAACCAACAAAACTCACCTTTTCATAAGCTTGAAAGGTAGCTCTTAGCTGCATGTAGTTTCTCTTTGCTAAGACAACATTGAAAACCAATTCGTCTGTTCCCCAGCAGCCTTCCCCTGCCTCAAAGATTGAATGTTAACATTAACAGTTTTCAAATGTTTGGGCTTTTTTTTTTTTCATATTTTTAAAAACCAGACATTGCAGTGAACCCAATGCACCCAATTCTGTTCCCAACCTGCCATTTTATTTATGTAATTTAATGCCATTGTCTTTGGGGTTGTTCAACATTTAGACGCCTTAGAAATGCCATAGACAGATGAAGACCATGACAATTGGGGATTTCTCCATTATTTCACTTACTTCATACAGGTCTTTGGCATCTTGCTCAGCGAGCGCTGCATTGATCTCCAGCCCTTCATCTCGGTTAGCCTACAGAAAGGGACAGTGTGTTAAAAAAGAGAACACATGCTGATTACTCTTGTACAGTAGAACCTCAGAGTTACAAACACCAGTGTTACGAACTGACTGGTCAACCACACACCTCCTTTGGAACCAGAAGTACACAATCAGGCAGTAGCAGAGACAAAACAACAACAACAACAACAACATAAAGCAAATACAGCACAGTACTGTGTTAAACGTAAACTACTAAAAAATAAAGGGAAAGTTTAATTTTTTTTGACAAGGTAAGGAAACAGTTTCTGTGCTTGCTTCATTTAAAGTAAGATGGCTAAAAGCAGCATTTTTCTTCTGCATAGTAAAGTTTCAAAGCTGTACTAAGTCAAGGTTCAGCTGTAAAATTTTGAAAGAACAACCATAACGTTTTGTTCAGAGTTACGAACAACCTCCATTCTGAAGGTGTTTGTAACTAGGTTCTACTGTAACTAGAATGGGAGTACTTGCGGCACCTTAGAGACTAACAAATATATTTGAGCATAAGCTTTCGTGGGCTACAGCCCACTTCTTCGTGGGCTGTAGCCCACGAAAGCTTATGCTCAAATAAATTTGTTAGTCTCTAAGATGCCGCAAGTACTCCTGTTCTTTTTGTGGATACAGACTAACACGGCTGCTACTCTGAAACCTGTACTAGAATGGAGCGTTTTTCATTCTTGCGTTCACAGGCTGTTTCATCATAGTCTTTTTGCTGCCATCCACTGGCCATTGTCTAGTACTGTATCAAATTACACAGGGCTAAATTCTACTTTGGTTTACCTTGCACCCTGCATAATCCCATTCACTTCAAAGGTATAAATCAGGGCAGAATTTAGTCCATAGTATTTGCTGTACTTGAGAGATGCTAGTTCACCAAGGCTGGTATCCTGCCTTCTGCAACATTCAATACCTCTTGCTTCAGAAGAAGGTGAAAAAATTCTATGTTTTATCTACACAGTTGTGCAATGCTGTACAGTGGAAGCATCCCAAGTGATCCCTGACTGTCAGGAACATGTAGCCTCTTGACCCTACATCTGAAACTTTCTTGCAAGAATAGGGGAATATGGAGACACGTCTGTCACAAAAGTCAATTAAAAAAAAATTTCCAGTACCTACAGTGAAATGTCACTTTTGTCACGTTTCTATTCCTTAATAAAAATCATGTGGCCCTGTACTGTTCCTTCCTATTTAACAATCAGAACCATTCACTAGCAGCTGCCTTTTTAGTGTTGCTTTAATTTTCGACAGGAATTTCTGGTAGCACATATCAAGGACAAATCTATGAATATTCCCTGGTTTGTCCTCCCTGAAAATACACCTAGAGGGGTCAGACAAAACCATTGTGACTTCCCACATTCTAGAATGGGAATGTAGCTGTCATGTATTTAGCTATGCCATGGTTGTGCCTTTGCTTCCTGAGTGCTGTACCTTTTCATCTCTAAGTCTGTCTGCAGAGATGGACAGTCATTTTGTGTTTTCTGTTCAGTGAATTCTCTCTCACACACACACACACACACTTACTTCACTTTTGTTCTTGTTTTCTTAATCTAAAATAATTCGGTCTGATATTATGTTTGCTCTGTGTGAATGGAAAAACATAGCAAGCCACTTCCATACTTTCTCTGTCTTGTCTGTTTAGAGTGTAAGCTTTTTGGGAGAGGGATTGTTTCTAATTATGTCTCTGGTGCAATGCAACCATGATCATGGTTAGGTACTCTAGGCCTTACCATAATATACAAAAGAAAGTAGTAATAATCCAGTATCTTCAATGGAGGGATAATACTGAGCAAGATCTAAAAGCTGTTAGTGAGAATTACCATCAATGGTAAAATATGCCCTTGACAGAAAGAGGTGGGGGGCAAATTCTGAGAATGGCCAAGGACCGCTATGGTCTATAGCAGGGGTGGCCAACCTGAGCCTGAGAAGGAGGCAGAATTTACCAATGTACATTGCCAAAGAGCCACAGTGATACATCAGCAGCTCCCCCCCCCCACATCAGCTCCCACTCCCCTCTCCCTCCCCGCACCTCCCGATCAGCTGTTTCGTGGCATGCAGGAGGATCTGGGGGGGGGAGGGGGAGGAGCGAGGGCATGGCAGACTCAGGGGAGGGGGCGGGAAGGGGTGGAATGGGGGCAGGGCCCAGGGCAGAGCCAGGGGTTGAGCAGCGAGTACCCTCCGGCACATTGGCAAGTTGGTGCCTGTAGCTCCAGCCCCAGAGTCAATCCCTAGACAAGGAGCCGCATATTAACTTCTGAAGAGCCGCATGTGGCTCCAGAGCAACAGGTTGACCACCCCTGGTATATAGAACCAGGTGGTAAGTAAGAAAGAATCCAGCACAACAGTTTAATAATCAAATCTCCCTGGACTGGGGGCAGATCCTCTTTTGTGTCCCTAGGTCGTACACTATAAACCTCAACCAGGAAGAGCCAAGGCTGAGCTGTTATTGGAGCCATGGTCACATCCAGCCTGAATTGTACACTCGTCTTTAATTACGACACTAGATTTGGTTAAAAGGCTGTAAGTATAGATGTTTTGCTATAAAAAGGCTGTGTGCACAGAATGGAGATTTATTACACTGCACTATCTAGGTGGGGTAGAAAAGAAAGGTCTATAGCATGTAGGTTTGTAATAGAAATATTCCAACCCTTACCTGTAGCACAGAAACCAGAATCTTCCGTAGGGAGCCACTTGTGTCACTTTTTACATCAGATTCTAGATCCCGCTCAAAGACTATTAAGAAAAATGTCTGTAAGATTTTATTCACTGCTAAAGGGTGAGATATTTTCTTTAAATGAGGGTGTTTTAAATAAAATATCACTTACGCCTTCTGTATGCATCCTTTATGTCTACAATTTGCTGGGATAAGCAAACAAACAAAAAATCAGGTCAGTAACATGCCCATGTGACTTGACATCTTCAGATACCACAGTGGTGTGCCAGGGATTAGACCCCAGATAGAATGACGACATTTAGTGGGAGATATTTAATAGGCCAGATTCTCAGTCTCCACTAAGATCCCAGTTCAGGAAAGCACATGCTTAAATCCATTCCTATTCAGGACAGCAGTTAAGCACATGCTTAACTTTGTTTCTTGGATTTCAATGGGATTTAAGTACATGCTTAATTGCTGACCTGAAGAGGATCACTTTCCTGAGTTGGGTGGGCCTAAATGCCCTTTGAACTGCTGCAGTGATGCAAAGGGCTCTTCACACTGCCTTAAACAGGCATAAATGTTGTTGTGTTGTGATGTAGGATACACCCCCAGGCATCTATCCTTCTCTGCATCTCTCCAAAACCTATTCATATTCTGAGGGAGGTGCGTGCTGGAGGGCTGAGAGGGAACTTTCTGATGCGACTATGATGTTCTTTATCTACATAGCATTTTGGGTCTAGGGTGGCCACTCATGTGGTCCCAGAATACCAGACATTCCGGTACTTCTAGGAATGGCGTGGGCCTGCCCCTGCAGACGAGATACCCCCTCCCTGCCTCCCAGTGTGACCTTGCACTCGTGGTGTGTAAGGTCATGCTGGCAGAGGTAAAGTGACATTCTTCAAATGTCATCCCCCATGTGATATCAGACATAACCACATGCGGTTTTGTCACAGTACTGGATGGGGGACAAACTACCCCAAAAGAGGATTGTCCAGTTTATAACAGGACAAGTGGCCTAACTATTATGGTCATTTCCTTAAAAAATGCTCCTGACTCCAGCCTGAGGGGGCTGATAGCCTTTTGTCTGCAGCCTCTGAAGGGAGACATACCTCACTTGAGCAGAGGTGACATCTCTTCTAGGAGGCAGGAGTAACGTGTGCACACTAGTCAGAGCAGTACTGCAAGGAAAATGTATAAGAACGGCTAAACACCCACTAACCTTATTGACCCTGGTGCAAAGAATCTCAATCAGCACCGATTCATCAGTTCCTGCGCCTTTCATTGCTTTCCGAAGCTCTCTGGCATCATATTCACATGGACGATCCAACAGAGCCAAGGCTGTCTTTTCAAAATTCCCACTTAGTTCTCCTTTCAGTACCTCTTCCAAATCCTAAGGAAGTAGCCCAGAAAGTTAATTCATAGCACAGAAAATCCACACAGAAGAATTGAGAGGTAATGTTTACTGTTGTTTGTTGATTATTTGTGTTTAGTCTATGGAGTTGTAAACATTTCCTGTGCTAAAGGAAGTCTTCCAAAAATTCAGATCAGAAAAGGAAAAAATAACTTTAAATCTATGGGCCTGGTTTTTCACTCATTGACACCAGTGTACACCAGGAGTCCCTCTATTGATGTCAATAGACTTCTCAGTGTAAACCACCAGGCACCCCAGTGCCTAGAAAAGGTGAGTTGGGATTACTTGATACACTGTCTCAAGAGGCTCATGCTATATAGGCAAGAGCAAAGTATTATTACTGTTGTGACAAAGTTCCTCCTCTATCTTGGTGGGTCCTGCGCTTATTGGAGGATTTTCTTGCCTCAGAGATTCACCATTTGGGTTGGGAAACAGCCCAGAGACCTTCCCCTCAGGAAGAACCCACAGTCCAGGTCAATTGGGAGGTTTGGGGGGAACCCAGGCCCACCCTCTACTCCAGGTTCCAGCCCAGGACCCTGTGGACTGCAGCTGTCTATAGTGCCTCATGTAACAGCTGCATGACAGCTACAACTCCCTGGGCTACTTCCCCCTGGCCTCCTCCAAACACCTTCCTTATTCTCACCACAGGACCTTCCTCCTGGTGTCTGATAACGCTTGTGCTCCTCGGTCCTCCAGCAGCACACCCTCTCACTCTCAGTTCCTTGCACCTCTTGCTCCCAGCTCCTCACACTCGCACCACAAACTGAAGTGAGCTCCTTTTTAAAGCCCAGGTGCCCTGATTTGCCTGCCTTAATTGATTCTAGCAGTCTCTTCTTAATTGGCTCCAGGTGTCCTAATTAGTCTGCCTGCCTTAACTGGTTCTAGCAGGTTCCTGATTACTCTAGTGCAGCCCCTGCTCTGGTCACTCAGGGAACAGAAAACTACTCATCCAGTGACCAGTACATTTGCCCTCTACCAGACTCCTGTACCCCACTGGTCTGGGACTGTCACATATCCCTCCCCCCTGCTCAACGCCAAGGGGTTGGGCAGCTTGGGACGCCTACAGCGCACTTGGCAGGGTTTGCTGTAAGGCCAGCCCGCCTGAAGGTATAGAGGACTGCCCCCACCTTCTCCAGGTGGGTTTCCCAGTCTGGGGTATGAATGACCACATTGGCCAAGTAGGCAGCAGCATAACTGTAATGCGGGCATAATAGCTTGTCCATGAGGTGCTGGAAGGTAGCTGGGGCCCCCATGTAGTCCAAAAGGGAGGACAGTATATTGAAAAAGACCTTGTGGTGTAGAGAACGCAGTCTTTTCCTTTGCGTCTTCCGCAAGGGGAATCTGCCAGTACCCCTTTGTCAAGTCTACGGTAGTCAAGTACCGGGCATCACCCAGACGGTCCACTAGCTCATCTATGCGAGGTATGGGGTACGCGTTGAACTGGGATACTTCGTTTAGTCGCTGGAAGTCGTTGCAAAATCTTGTGGTGCCATCAGGTTTGGGCACCAGCACGATTGGGCTGGACCACTGACTGTGGGATTCTTCGATGATCCCCAACTCCAGCATTTTTTTTTACTTTGCTTTTATTTCCTCCCTTTTTGCCGCTGGCACCCGATAGGGCCTCATTGTTACTCTGGCCCCAGGGTTCGTGATGATGTGGTGATGTGTCTCGGTTGTTCGACCCGGTTTTGTCGAGAACACATCTTGGTTCTGGAAGATCATCTCAGACACCTCATTCTTCTGGTCTGGTGTTAAATCGGGAGACACTCTCACCTGTTTGGAAGGCTTGTTTTCCTGGGTTAGGTCTTTTTGGACCGTTGTGCATGCCTCTTGTGCATGCCAGGGTTTCAGAAGGTAAACGTGATAAATCTGTTCTTGTTTTCTGCATCCTGGCTGCCGCACCTTGTAGGTTACTGCCCCCATGGGTTCAACCACCTCATAGGGCCCCTGCCATTGGGCCAGAAGCTTGCTTTCTGCCGTGGGTACCAACACCATAACCCGATCCCCTGGTTGGAACTGTCGCACTTTTGCCTGGCGATTGTAATGGGTTCGCTAGGCCTCCTGTGCCTTCTCCAAATGTTCCCATACAATAGGGGTAACCCGGGCTATCCGATCTCACATCTGCATTACATGCTCTATTATATTTCTCCCCTCATTGGGTTCCTCTTCCCAGATCTCATTGGCGATATCTAGTATGCCACGGAGGTGACGCCCATATAATAACTCAAAGGGGGAAAACCCAGTTGAGGCCTGTGGTACCTCCTGGATAGCGAACATAAGGTAGGGTAGTAGGGTGTCCCAATCCTTCCCATCCCGACTTACCACCTTCCTTATCATAGCCTTGAGGGTTCGGTTAAACCTTTCTACCAACCTATCGGTCTGCGGATGGTAGACCAAAGTTCTCAGGGTATGTATATGGAGCAGTGTACAGAGGTCCTTCATTAGCTTTGACATAAATGGGGTTCCTTGGTCGGTTAATATTTCCTTTGGTAGCCCCATTCAAGCAAAGATCCCCACCAGCTCTTTGGTTATAGTTTTAGAGGCCGTGTTCCGCAGGGGGACGGCTTCTGGGTAGCGAGTAGCATAGTCCAAAACAACATGTATATATTGGTGGCCCCGAGCCGTCTTCTCCAGGGGTCCCACTAGGTCCATGGCTATTCGCTCGAAGGGGACCTCTATGATGGGAAGGGGTACTAAACGTGCCCTCAAGTGGGGACGGGGACTGTGCAGCTGACACTCCGGGCAGGAGGCACAGTACCTCCGCACTTCTTCACGTACTCTGGGGCAGAAGAACCATCATAGGACTTGTGCCAGGGTCTTCTCTACCCCCAAATGCCCCCCAAAAAGATGACTATGAGCAAGACTTAATACAGCGTTCTGGTGTTTTTGAGGTACTAGGATCTTCTGTACCTTCTACCCCTGTACTGGTGCAACCCGGTATAAGATCCTTCTTCATTGTGAAGTAGGGTCCTGGTCCCTGGGTTTTTCCTTCCACGGGGACCCCATCTATTTCAGTCACCTCCTTCCTAATGTTGTCATACCTTGGGTCTTCTGCCTGATTTCCTCTCCTGGGGCTAATCTGCCCAAGATCTAGGGGCCCAGTCTCTGTTGCCTCTACTGGTTCAGAAGGATTAGGGTGGGGGTCAGACTCAGGTGCTTCTCCCTCCTGCATGGCCTCCTTTTCAGCTGCACGGGTCCGCCTATCTACAAGAGCGACCCTCTGGCTTTGGGTCAGTATTCGGGTTCCCAAGGCCTTAGCTGCCCTTCTTGTCTTTCTACACTGTCTGGGAGTGGAGAACAAATCTGGGGATATTTCAGAGAAGATTGGGGGTTGATAGTCTGTTGTGGATGCCTC